TGACCTGTAAGAGTAATGAATCATTTGTAATTTACTTTTTACAGTTGTCAAAAAAATAAACAAAGTAAACCAATTTCACAAATTGAGTTGACATACTTGTAAACTGGCTGTAGGAATTGTTCTTTTAGATAATTAAACCAATTTCAAAAAACTACTTTTTCTTAAGGGTGTCTTTGAAAGTAATCTAAAACGAATTTATTGAATTTTTATGGTATTTTATAAAAATGAAATGATTTCGATTATTTAAAATTATTTGGGGGTCACTACAAAGTGAATAGATAGTCAAGTTGTTCAAGTTCAACAAATTACTGTATCAGTTATTTTATATTATTCAATTCATGAAAACATTGATGATAACAAATCTTCACCAAAACAATTTATGCATTAGTAGGCAGTTCTCTTATACCAAAATTAATCCAGGGTGATAACTTTGAAGAATTATCCTTTGATGGATCATTGCTAGTGGCCCCATAGTGCCTCAGATTTTTAAGAATAAAATCAAGCAGCATAGAATACCCCGCCTTTTCTCCAGGACCATCACCCCATTTGATTTCTGGAACATCCCATTTTGGAGTATAATGTGAGTAGGCGCTATCAAAACTTTCAATTTCATTTTTAAAGTTAGGCTTTCCTGAATACTTGTGTCTTCTAATAATGGGAAATCCTGTTAGGTATTCCGGTAGTTGTTTTGTTATCTTTGTTCTCAAAAATTTTGCCATTCCTTCTTGTTTATCTGATGCTTTCCATACTGGTACGATGTTGTGAGCGTCTACCTATAATTTTTGTGAGAATATTGAATTCTATTGAAGTTATCTATCGAATTATTCAATGATTAGAATTATGTTACAATCCAATAATAATGTAGACATTTCAAAATATTTCAAACTAATTACATTTCTGAAACAAGATGGGAAAGGTTACACGCCCATGAAAGGTGCCATATTTACGAGTACACATATTAGTGACTCTTTAAATAATGCTCCCGATTAAGTTTATTTAATGACCAAGGTTGTTGTTGTATGCAGGAATTGCATGTGTGGAATTGCAGGAGCTTGTCGAATTTGTGAAATCAGCCAGGTAACATTAGATGATATTGAAGATTCGGGAACGTTATTAATTGTAAAACTCAAGCAAACAGAGAATGATGTTAACAAGAGATTTGTAGTTACTGAAGAATATATTAAATTTTACTGAATGTATATAGCCCTTCGTCCAACAGCAGCAAAGGATCGCCGCCTATTTTATGCATATCGCAATGGAAAATGTATCAATCAGGTTGTGGGTAGCACAGTTTTATAAGGTACCTGAAGCAGTGGCTAATTTTCTTCAACTTGAAAATACCAATTCATATACAGGTCATCCATTTCGAAGATCGTCTGCTACACTTTTAGTTGAATCTGGGGGAGACTTGATGACACTAATAAAAAAGTATTAGATTTTAGCTCGAGGTTGTGTTGTCAAAAAACTTTTTTTCAGTGGTGAATTTTATTGACTGGTGGATGGAATTTACATATTCAACAAAAATGCCTGCTTGCCTATCTGTACCAGTAAAACAGATCAAGATATCATCTACGTATTTGTACCAGTACAAGAAACTGTTAGTTAACTGATTATTAGGGATTTAATACTCTATATTATCCTTGAAAAATTCAGCCACCAAAGGACTCAAAGGGTTCCCCATTATTAGTCCTTCACTGCTTGATTTTTTTTTTCGTCAAATTGAAAATAATTTGGAGATAGACGAATAGTAAGTAAATCTGAAATTTCCTGTTTTATTAGTGGATTTAGGTGGATTCTGTCTGAGAGATGCTCAACCAGTCCAATTGTTTCAATTGGGAAATAAATTTTGGACATTAAAAGATATTAATTTCGCGTTATCAGGAAGAATTACGCTTTCAATATTATTCACTAATTGATACGAATTATTTATACTGAATCTCGGCTTGAAATGGTATAGGTTTGAATCAGTTTTATAAGGATTTCTGAGATTTTTACAGTAGGTGCCGTTACAAATGACACCACAGGTCTAATGGGGAAATAGGTTTCGTGTAATTTAATAAGAGAATACAGTTTGGGTGGTTGTGGATTCATGATCAATTCTCTACATTTGTCCCTTCCTTTCATAACTAATTATATTGTCTTGAGAATTTCCTTTACCTTTTCTGGTACATAGTTGTAGGGTTCTTCGTCAGAATCTCGTAGCTCCCTGAATCAAGGAAGTCTAGAGTTGTGCCTAGATAGTCATTTTTATGTAATGCAATAACCGTAATCTGCTCTCGTAAAAATCACTTCACTATCCTTAGCTCTTTGCTTGAATGATTTTGCAATTTTAATTTTTCTATTAGACTGAATTTGATCCAACAGGTTCAGATTTCCAAATATTTGCCACGACATGTTCATTATAATTACTAGTACCTCTCAGAGCCAGCTCCGTTTCTATACCTAAACATTCTATGGTCGTAGAATTTATATATGGTTTTATGTTATGACTGAGGACTTATTCTAACAATCTCGTTTCATTTAGTGTAAACTTCGTGTCAGATAGATTTACAAATCTGTCGAGAAACTTATGATTAAAATAGTTATCCAAACTTTGGGCCCGCTTCTTGGGAAATCTAAAGTGAATTAATCGTAGGAGTTTATTCTTTTGTGTCAGAAATTTTTTGTGAATTATGTCACTAACTTTTTCCCGAGTATCTGTGTCCAAAGTTTGGAATTCTATATAATGCAATCTAAATAATAATTCCGAATGTATTACTTTATTGTGATAGTTTGTCTTTGTAACTTAATTCCTAATTTATATGTTAATGACTTTGTTATGATACCTAATATTTCAATGGTTTTTGTATTCTGCAAGCGAATAAACAATGGGATGTTTGGAATGGAACCTTTATCGCTGTTCATAGATCTCATACCAAATTTTTCCATTTCTAAACTTTCAAGAGCCTGGTATCATATATTCGTCTTCACAATTTCAAGCATTTCTCATTTCTTCTGTGGCCATTCTCTGAGATGTTTAGCGACCTTAGGCTTGTTGGTTAAAATAAAAAACCAAATATGTCAAATATGTTACTTGAAACTTTTATATATTCCAGTTATTCATATATTAGGTTATTAGAGGAGCTGACCTGTGATCTGGTTCATTGCGACCTTTGGAGATATGTTGTGATTCGTCTTGGTTAGCAGAGCATTCATCTACCTTGATCTCTTTGATGAGATTCCATAGCCATAATATTGGCTCCAACATTAGCCTCTGGTTTCTCATTCTTGCATCACCCATGTCTTAGCATTGCTAATGCTTCACAAGCAAGTTTCTTGAGCCGACAATGTCTTGCTAGTAGACCTACCACTACCGTTACAACATTGCGATTGTGGATTAGCAGGTATTCCGTGAATTGGGGCGAGGGTTCCTTCATGAACTTTTGTGCCTACCTCAACCTTAGGAGCTTGTTTCACCAGTTTTGTGATTTGATTTGCATCCACGATTTGAGAGATGTCTTTATACTTGTCTTTGCCAGCCTGCAGAGGCTTTCGGACCTATCATGGCCGTGAATGCCTCTCTCAGGCTAAGGCATCGGTCTCCTCACTTGATCCTCATTTCCGGGTATCTAGGCCAGGGTAACCCTATTGTAGGAAAATAGATCATTGAATGTGCTGGGGCAGCTCCCTACAAGTCACGAAAAGACTCTGCAGGAGATAAGTGCCTCAATTGCCGCTTGGCTGTTGGAGAAAATGGCAATGGTACTAATTTCAAACTTATGCCTGAGCAATTCTCCTATGCGGTATTTGATGAAGGCAGCTTCTGTCAGAAACATTGATGCGTTCTGTCCAAGTGTAAGTGCTTTGCCTTCGTATATACCGGCTCCCCAGTTAGTAATAAGTTGGACAATATATTCATTCTCTATATTGCTAATATAACATAACATATAGTTAATTCTTGAACATATGCAATGTTCATGTTTATGTACATAATCTAATAGAAACAAATTATTATAATCCGATTAGGTTGAACAACATTCTTTCATACTTTCAGTCGCAGCTTATTCATGAATCCTAGACTTTTTCTTTTCTGACATACGGTCTTTCAGGTTGCACAACTTGTTGAAGTGTACAAGCAGTTTTTAACACCAACTTTAATGTATTTCTCAAAAATTTAGACAATTCACTGGTATATCTTAGTTCATATGCCATGAGGGCAATATTAAGTTGTGATAAACGCACATCTGTGAAATGCATGTTGGAAACACTGTCTTGCTAATACAGAGTAATAATAATATGATAGGACTATACACTTTGGAATCTTCACCTTTCTGAAAAGTTGATGATTTATGAAGACACTCTGAATTTTGTAACCTAACCTAAAGGATACCCGTTACTCTCAGCTATTTCCTCGATAACTTTTTTCTCAGTCATATCCTTCTTTGCTTGAGTAGGATGTGTCATCATCAAAGATATCTGATAGCTGATTTTTAAAATTTTTTCCTTGAACTACCATTACTTAAATTTGAACTAAGAAAATTAATCCCAGTTGGTAACAGCGGCTGTTTCTATATTCTTCCCCAAATCGCCTAAGTGACTTCTTGAAAATTTTTCTAAACAACAGAGGTCATAAAACATGAGCTTGCCTTAACATTGTCAGCAGTATTTTGCAATTCCTATTAATTTCACTTTGCACCTGCTGAAATATTCGAGGGGTAGGTACAAAAGAAGAGGTTTAGTAAGAGTAAGTGAATAGTTTTTAAAGGTTATTACCTGAACTACTGGTACATCATCAGGTAGATGCTCTAAAAGAACTTCTTGTAATTTCTTAGGGTGTTTCAAGGGACTGAAATCACAGATGACACCTCCTATGTTATTATCCACAATTGATTTTGCCAAATCTTTGGGTGCACTGTTCAATAAATAAAATCCAATGTTCAGAGATTCACACTCCTTCTTAAGTAACTTCAAACCTACGGAAGATTAATGTATGAGTACCTAGTAACTTAGACAACTTGTTCGGTGAGTGCTGTAAAATATATGATACAACAGTGACCATTAAATTTGACATTAATTTATTTTTTCAGTTCATAAATTTAATTCAGATGAGTGAACTTTCCCTAGTCATCAGAATAATTGAAAATTTTATTTTGAATACAGAATGGAATTTAACGAATGTTGGGCCTTTCATTTTAGTTTGAGTTTACTAATTGAATTGTTAAATTATTACACCGCCACAGATCAATATAAAATATATCAATGTTTTCAAGATAGTTCTTAGGTGAATCTGTGAAAGCTATTTTCCGGATTTTATGGAAGTGTTTTGCAGGTTTTTATGCATGAAGTTTCGTTTAAAACTGCGGTAGACATTATCAAAGGCGATGTGGTAACGGTCGCAGTGCTTGGGTTGGTGCTTGAGTTGTTGTTCCCGTTGTTTCCAACGCAAATACGATGCTGGTATTTGACTTTGGTGTTATATTATTGGTGGGCGTGGCTTGGTTTCTCCTAATGGGATTACCTGACCTAGTTTTAAGTTGGTTATTCTATGTTACGAACAAGATTCATAGAATATCCCTGATGTGAGCACTTCTGCCCCTTCCCTATGTAAAACATTTGTTAAAAACTCTCTTTTTTCAAGAACAAAACACAAGCACTGCAGGAAAATCCTTAAGGCGCTCTAAGAGCGGTGCCTGAACGAAAGTGGAGATTTACATTGGATTTAAATCGCTGGAGATTAAATCCATTTGGGAAAACGTTCTCGGGAAGTTTATTCCACATAAACGCAGTTCTCCAAATGAGAGATTTTTTAATCAGTGAAGTTCGAGGTGTACAGAGATGAACCTCAAAACGATGAACAACCACAGTCCATAGCGTATTTCTGGTATGTACCACTCTTGGTAAAATCAAATGTGCCAAGTCACTTGAACACTTCCCGTGAAAGTATCTATAGAAGAGAGACAAATCTCCAACCTTTCTTCGATGTTCCATACTATCAAGGTTGCAAGTGATGGTCACATTTCCAATCAGGCGGATGACTCTTTTCTAGATAGAATCCAGCAGCTTCAGGGTATGCTTAAAGGCGGAGCTCCATACATGAGAACAATACTCCAAAGAAGGTCTGATTTGAGCTTTATAAAGCATCAAAAGTTGTATGTACAGTTTTCTGGTTCGGAACTATGTTCCAAGCTTTTGAGAGGCAGCCTTTGCAACTTTAGTGACATGATTTTGCCAAGCATTAGTGATAAAAAATAATAAAGACATTCAATAAATTTCAGTATTTCATTCACAGAGGTGCTGAGTTCAACTCAAGTGACGCAACATGACAATCAATAAAAACTTCGATTTTCAATGTTGTTTACATTTTGGAATGAATTGATATTAGATGAGAGATTTTTTACATTATGGTCTCAACAAAATATGCGTGACAGATTTCGAATCTTGCACCATCTATCAACATGTGTACAAAGTTTAGTCAATCCCATTTCTCGCGTTTTTGAAAAAACATGATTTCTATGCATCTTTGTTGTGTAAAAAATATGATGAAGAGTGACCATAAAAAAATCTTTCCTTTTCCTGTTAGTTCTGAAAAATCTTTAGATGACATAAACTTACTATTGCTTTCATTGATATCTGAACATATACCTACTTCAGAAGTTCCCTATTCCTTGCATTAAAATGAATAGTTTACAAGGCCAACTAATGAAGTCAAATACTAATGAAAAGCATTCATTCACAAAAAAATATAAATATTTGATATGCTCAAACAAACCTTCTATTAAAAATTTGAAATGTCGCATTGTGGGATACTGTTGATGAGCATCTTTCACTGTAAAGCAAACAAAAAGAGGTACTTTTTGCTTTATTGCCAATCTTTGTGCAAATACCATGGCCCAGTTATCTTGAATTCTACAGTCTCTGTACATCCAGTACAATATCCCATTAGATTTGTCCTTAACAGTTTCATTGTCAGTTAAAACTCGACAGCGAGTTTTATTGAAGTCAAATTCATCAGTTCCACCCTGTGATTCTCTCGATTCTACAATATTTTTGAGAAAAAGTTCTTTTGTTAACTTTTCAAGTACAACTTTTCCAGAGGAGCTTCTTGGTTTCAATGATGCCATACTTAGATTATCGAATAATTATCTAGACGAAAAAATTATAAAGTAAAACTTGATTTTTCCTTCACAAAATGATTACGACGACTTATTACTTCCTCAGGTTTGGCACCGTTATTTATATATCATTCCAATATTCTGTGTGACATAACCCCTTGGCTGTTTTGTGCCCTAACCACAATTTCACAATTGACAGTTGTTGACTTGGCAGCTTGGCCTGTTTGGCCCACAAAGCTGTTTTGTGGCTTGGCCACAGTACAGAGGTAGCTTGGTGGTTTTGGTACCCAACTCAATCCCGACAAAAATTATGCGCTACCTCTGCTTCATTCTTTGTATTTCGTTCTTTTAGCATTTTATACTTGTGTTATTTCCATCGAGCAGCGAACAACATTCGGCGGTAATGAAATATTTGGAATATATATTTTAATTCAAGATGTAAGAATATTGTATGCATGATTTAAACTTATAATTTTAGGAAAGTGTTATAGTTACGGTGAAACAAAAACTTAGCCTTGTCAGCTATTTTCACGAATCGTTGTGGTTTCCAGTGATGGGCTAATTCGAATTACAAATAATCAATAATTCGATTATCATAATAATTCGAGATGTCGAATCGAATATCAAGATTCTAATTATTTGTCTTTTTCTTATTATACGGTTGGTGTTTTATCATTTAGACGCACTTGACCATAATTTGAATTAATTTGACAATATTCGCATCGCAGAACTTGAACATAACTGTTTTACAGTTATTTTCCAGACATTTCCAAGTCAAACGCTGATAGTGTATGTTTTTGTTGGCACTAATCCTATTCCAGATTGGGCTTTTTCCAACGAAAGTTCTCTGCCCAAAGTTATTTGATCGAGCAGGACAGCATATAAATTTTGACGGGAATGATCCAATCTGGAATAGGATTAATATCAACAAAACACACCTAGTACCAAAGCCAATTGAGAAATGTACAATAAATTCACGAACTCAAAATAAATTCTCAGTATATGAAAATGAAATAAAACATTGTTCTCAGTTTACAGTAAAATTCACAGTTTAATCTAATATAGTACATCCACATACTGAACAAGTACAGTTTCTCGATGTCCATTGAGTGATTCTACTGCGCATTGCGAGTGATTTATAATTCGTATGATAATTCGATTATTCANGTACTTCGTGACGCGCCATGCGCCCGCCGACCGGGACACCGGCCAGGGCCGGTCTCAGATTCATTACAACTTAATATGCATGCTTGTGCTCTCCTTCTTATAGAATTTGGCACTTGTTAAAAAATATCAGGTGTATTTTTTTAGTCTATCACATGGTGCAAATATCTTGAATTATCTTCATCAGTCTTAATGAAACTTGTGTAAGTTACTGAATTAACTATACGTTACATCGGATTAGCAATGAAGGAAGTTTTTGAAATACATAGTAACAGTCAATTGATTTGTAAGAATACATTGTTCAACTTATTACTAACTGGGAAGGCAGTATATATATCTACGGAACCAGAGCACCATAATGTTTTCGGCGAGTGCATCGGCTTGGGATGTGGGGGTTGAGCAAACCGGCCATCGGATGCCTACTTCCACGTAGCCCCGCTGGATACGGGAATGACAGAATCACTTGTGGTTCTGTTATTCCCTAACTGAATGGCATCCCAACGATGGCTTAATCATAAGGTGTGTGTATCCGTAATGAGAGGATGAACGACACTGAGACTGAGCCTATATCAGCTGTCAGCTGTTTCTACGGAACCTTCGAGATACCGGGCGCCCTCTCGTCGTAGCATGTCGAGTTTACGACTCCAACGGACCTCTGTCCTCCGTGTAAATTTAGTTCAGGAGCGAGTCTACAGAGGAGATGGATGTCAAGTTTACGACTCCAACTGACCTTCCTGTAAATTTAGTTCAGGAGCGAGTCTACAGAGGAGATGAATGTCGAGTTTACGACTCCAACGGACCTCTCTGTAAATTTAGTTCAGGAGCGAGTCTACAGAGGGGATGAATGTCGAGTTTACGACTCCAACGGACCTCTCTGTAAATTTAGTAAAGGAGCGAGTCTACAAAGGAGATGGATGTCGAGTTTACGACTCCAACGGACCTCACTGTAAATTTAGTTCAGGAGCGAGTCTAGAGAGAGGAGATGGATGTCAAGTTTACGACTCCAACTGACCTCCCTATAAATTTAGTTCAGGAGCGAGAGCTGCGGCGTACGCAGAATCTGTCTCAGGTCGGGGAACTAACCCCCCATGAGCAGGTTAGCAAACGTTTGCGCTCAAGTGAGGTTTTAAACCAGAGGCGAAAAAGCCTTTCACGGCTGAATCAAAGCAGGCATCGTCAAGTGTAGCTGACGTGCAAAAACCCTCATATGGGAAGGTTGTCGTGGGTATCAAGGTGGGAATCTTGCAACTTGACTATCCGACTACCACATTAACAGAGCATATACTCTGTGCCTGTCTTTGGGTAGGTATTTTACTAATTCATCATTGGCAATACTGGAACAAATAGTTTTTTTTTGAAACGGCACCATTGCCGATTGCTCTCAATTTATATTACGTTTTACATTTCTGATTTCTCAGAACAATCATTTTTGGATGAAAATATTTTGTCAATAATAAAATAATGGATAATAAGGGAACCGATACGAGTGAAAGTGATATTGAAAGTCTGTCATCAATATTCAAAAAGGGATTAGAATCTTATAATAACATAACAAATAGTGATCAACCTACTAATAGTCCAGATATGCAGGTGAGGTTTTTTGTAATTTATTGAAAAGAATAATTAATAAAAGTTAACTTTTCTATTTCAGATTAGTATAAAAAGGACTATGAAAACTTTCGAAGATGCCACTAGGTTAGTTTCATTGGCTGGCATTTTTAGTAACAATGAAAGTATTGATGAAGTTTCAACAAGTGATCTCCAGTATTTTTTATTACCAGCACTCCTGGGTTCTCTCAGTTTGAAGTTAACTTCAGGTGAACGGAAAGATATTGTAGATGTTGCTGAAATCTATTTCAAGGATTTCTTATTACGTTGCAATGCATATAATCTCAGTAATTATCAAGATAAGAAAACTGATGAAAAACTAAATAAGACAGAGTTGGAACAACTGTTGTCAGCAGTGAATACCAGGGCAAATAAAATACAAAGGTAGGGTATTAATGGGTATTCATTAAGAGATATCCTGAATGCACCAAATTCAATATATCAAAAGGTTGAAAATCATTTTTGAATGTTGCGTTTTTATTAAGAATAGTAAACCTTTTATCAAAATCATATTTACATTTGAAAATGGGTACATACAATTTAGAAATGTAAATTTCTGGTAGTATGAGCTTTTCAAATAATTCCCTAAAGCTTTTCAATTGTTCATCTTAAAAAATAAACATGATGATATGCATATACAGACCCCTGCAGGCTGAAATTCTCATTAGACTAGAAGCACCATCGAATGAGCTACTATAAGATGCTTCACTTATGATGACTGGTGACTGTCACAATAATGTGTTTTTTTTGAGTACGTTATGGATTTTCATCAAGTATCGGCCGATTCTATCAAATTAATCTTGATGATAAACAATCTTTACACACCCAAATACTACCATGTCTTCTGACATCCTTCAATTCAATCATGCACTTAAATTTCATCTTTGGCCACCAGACCATAGATACAAATGTTATTGGTTTAACCACCATGGTGTAGAGCCAATAACATCATGTCTGGTTTCGGCCCTCATGACTTTCCTAAGGTACGTCTGACCAGCATCATAAGTAACTCCACCTTTCCTTTCACTCTTTCCAGTATAGGTTCCAGGTCAGTCTGGGATTTAGTATCACTAGAGGTCGTAGGCCCTCTGTTTTGGTCCTCTTGGTAAATACTACTACATTCTGTTTCTTTGGGCTTATGTTCAGCCCTTTCTCATCAGTCCATCTAGTAATATTCAGGACCTATTGCGTGCGTCCTTTCACCATTTTGCTCTGGTTTAGAGCATAACCCAGTACTTATGTGTTTATTACGGTCCAGAAAACTTAGTAACTCATCCATTACAAGCTTTCATAACAGTGGGGTAAAAAACCCCTGGAGACTACCCCTTGCTACCTGTGCCACTATTATCTCTTCTTCCATGATGGTCGTGTACATCAATCTTCCTCTAAGCTTGCAGTTCATCCACCTGCAGCTTGTATCTTCAATTCTTCTTCTCCTCGATGCCTTAATGATTGATTCTAAGGATGTATCATCAAATGAGCCTTTTAAATCCAAGAAAGCATCCAAATATTTGGCTTTTTCCTGGACCTGGCATAATACTGTTTCCGTCAACATACCTGATCTGTAGGCATATTGGTCTCAATTCTGTGGTTTGGTAGCCATTACTGTGTCTCTAATATGTCTGTCAAGTAGTTTTCAAAAGTTTTCAATGTTTTCATGATACTGTTTGGTCCCAGGGCCTTCGCTGAGTCCTGCCCAATTTTTCCAGGTTTCTGAATAAAAGTGTCCCTAATCAATCTTCATGTTTTTGGTATATATGCCAGAGACAAACTCATCCTGAGAATTATATACAATTTTTTAAGTAGAAGTTCTGGTCCCTTTTGCAGCATAACTGGGTGAATGCCATCTGGCCCTTCTTTTAAAATGTCTAAATTGTTTTCCATAATAAACTGTTGTAACGGCTCACCACTTTTATTGCTGTCAGTACTTTCCCATGTCAGGTGTGTATTTTGCCATCTGTAATCTATCTGCTTGGCAGATTCTAACTTGTCCTCATCCCACGTTAGTGGCAGTTCCTGACTATCGTAAGGCAGATAAGCTGATCCAATGACGATTTGCACAGGTCCTTCCTCAGCAGCCATCTTTAGATTGACCGTCATACAATCAAATCTCCTCAGATTTGTACCAATCCCATGATTTTTTCTCTGTAGACCCATAACCTTTGTAAGGACCACCAAAGCCCCTTACTGTCTTGTAGGTTGCCTTGTGCTACTCTCTTTATGAGTCAGAGGAATTGCACGAAAATATCTCCATGGAGCCCTCTGTGAAGCTTAATACTCTGAGATCGTCTGAAATGTTAGAGGCTCCGTTGGGGATACATGATGAGGTCCAAGCAAATGAAAGAAAGGTGAAACTGGAACCTCTGGCATGGAATAAATCCAAAACAAGCACTTTTCCCAAACACCAGAACTGTAATACTCTTCTCGATGTGTGTTGGTTGGTGAAATGCCCGACACAAAGAGTATTGCAGTTCTGGTATTTGGGAAAAGTGCTTGTTTTGGATGAATACCTCCTGAAACATTCTGATCCCTTCAAGAATTCCAATATGCCAATTTTGAAGATTATGTGTGCACTATTATGTATTTTGTTTTTTTTTAAATATTGTTTGCACGTTTGTACTGATATTTTCATTTTATTCACTTTTCTTGTCTGCATACCTATTGCTAATTTAAACTGTAAAAACGAAACTTTAATTGTTCTGCTACAAATGTAATGATTTTATTTGATGTAGTAAAAGTATTGTATGACCTTGGGATTATCCATTAACATTACAAATGGACCACCTATTGGAAAATAGTTAGGCTGCTCCCTAGAGGTATACACAGCAGTCTTGTGTTATTGATGCAAAAAAAATCTGCAAATTTAATTCAACTTTGATTCTTGTTTTATAAAAAGATGTAATAGTAGCAATTTCTGCATGTTAAGGTTTTTTTTGCAGGTTCAAAGAACAAAAAGAACTAAAATCTAAACTTGGTGACTTGAAAAAAAATATTGAGAATGAACATGTGGATGAGGAAATCAAACGAGAATACTTCATTACAATGATCAAACTTTTTATTCATGAAGCTATCGAAGAACTGAATAGCATTGATATGGAAAAGCCCATTTTGGAGCATATGGATAATATGAAAAAGGATGATAAAATACAGCCCAAAAGAGCTCTACCTCCTCCTCTCAGGCCAATTATTATAACAAAAGATGAAGTACAGAAAGCAGTATTTGGGGCAGGGTATCCTTCTTTACCTACCATGACGGTAAGATTCTGATGTCTTTATTTTTTAAGCTACTTTGAGCTACTAGAACTAAAATACTACATGAAATAGTCAATGGAAAGATTTATTGGGAATTGTGTGATATCTATAATAAGTGAAACTTGTCAAATGTTGTTACCCAAGCTTACGATCTGATATATATTTTAGTTGTGATACTGCACATACTCCATGGTTATAATGCTGTATTGATTGATGATACAAATTTGAAAAAAAAAGGGAAGACAAGCTCCTAATCCAAAACTAAAATGAATATATGAGTTAATCAAAGAAGGCCTGTAATGTATAATAATTGAATGTAGCGAAGGGAATATGTAAATAGTTCTTTGTTGTAGAATCATGTTGATGAAATTTTAGATTTGTTTTGAAAGTTGATTTGTTTTTGAACATGTACGTTCATTGTTCAAAAATATAAACCAATGATGGAGTTTAGACACCATACTCCTTAAAATGTGCCTTACATGGTTACATGGTTCTCTGTTCGAACAATTTGCTATGCATCTCAGAATACGTTTTTGTGCTATAAAGACATTTCTTACTGAGGTAGTTGCACCCCAGAAATAGATACCATACCTAAGTCTTGATTCTACTTGAGCAAAATATTCATTGAGCAACTGTCTCTTTGTCAAAACTGTTCAAAAGTTAATGAAGAGGAACTTCAATCAGTTGAGTTTTTGAGGTTGATTGTGATGATGGGATTTCCATCTAGAATGTTTTCCAAGAATCTTACATAGTGATCAGTATTTGTTAAGATCTGATTTTTCGCCATGAAATATGGCAATCCGTTTTGGCAGTTGTCAGTATGAATAATTTCTGCGTCGAATAATGAATTGTTCTTATTGAAATCAATTGATATCTGGCTATTCAGGCACAATTGTTTTCTAATCTTTTTGAATCTGGTGCAGATATATCTACCGAAAAATCATCTACATAAGCGGTACAATTACCTCCTATATTATTTACATAGAGTATAAACAGTAGAGAACACATTATTGAACCTTGTATTGACACAAATTGATATCTATTTTAAAAAAATGAATTCAGCCAGATGAGAGAAAATTTTGTATGATTAACACTTAAAACATAAAATCAACTTCTACTCAAGTACTCTTTTCTGCTGAGTAGTATGAATATGATCTGATAAGATTAATAATAATAACTGGTGTAAAAGCAATTTAAATTACAAAGAATCACCTTAAAAGTTTTCTCACCAGAAGGAAAGAGTTTACTAGATTCAACCGTCTCTGTCTCCAAAGACATTGCAGTATCATTAATTTTTGTTTTGTAGTTTCCAGGTGCTATAAATGCACTTTGACATATGTTAGTGAAGTATATTCTAAATCAGACCTCTCCACTATCATGAAAAATCGAGAGAAAAATCGATCTCTCATATTTACAAAATTGCTATATGTCATTCCTATTTTTGAACGTCAGTCAATGTTTTCAGAAAATGTTTCATTTTCATATAACATATATAATTTGTTCGAGCCATGAAGGAAAAATTCAAATAATGAAATGTGGATTTAGACCAAACTTCAAAACTCTTCAGATATTAACATTTTTTTAAATTGAACTTTTAGGTGAATGAGTTTTATGATAAACGTGTGGCAGAAGGTATCTTTCCTGATCCAAACAAAAAAAAAACTGTTCCCACCAGTCTTCAAGAGGCAGCTTTAGCAGGAATGTCTCTTAATCAAGATGAAAAAGAAGAAGAATTGAAGGACAAGTTGATTGAAGAGGATGATGAAGAGAACATTGCTAGAATGAGAGCCAAGGATGAATTCAAAGATGATCACAGGCGAGGGTGGGGTAACCGAATGAACCGAAGTTGAAATCAATCTTTCTGGAAACGTAACTGGTTCAGGGAGCATGCTCTTTGAAAAAATTTCTGTGGTTATACTGGATTCGATAACAAAAAGGATGGATATTTTTCCAGGAATTCAGAATATTTTTTATCAAGTGAAAGAGCTGAATTTATCTGAGATATATACATACTATGCATTTTCTCAAAGTTTAGCTTTAATCAGCAACTGTAATGAACTACGTAAAGAAAATTGTTACTGAAAAAATGTTTAAAGAATTTGAAAGTGTCTTCAAAATATCAGTGTTAGAATTATGAGGGTTACCTTTTGAATTTATTCAATGTGTTGTGATTGAAATACTTTTTCTGAATCTCATATCACTCCTACTCCATTTCTCATAAAGAAATATAGACAAAAGCTTTTGAAATATTCGTTTCATTATTATTTCCTGTTTTGGGACTTTAAAACATGTATTTTGATTGTTAAAGGTATCAATTATTTTAACTACTTGTTTAATTTAATTCAACTGAAAATCTTATATTATGAATATTTAAGCGAGAACTGATGACCACCGATTTAACTATTTTTTCACATGCACTTTTTTGTTTTTGTTACAGTATATCTGTTTCTTAGTACAGAATCTTGCTTGACATACAAGTTTTTTCGTACTATTAAGAAGTTGCCACAAAAATTATTTATGGGAATAAATTTTTTTTGGAGGGTACTAGACACATTTTGCAGTTGAATACCATTTTTGTTTGTCTTCCAATTACTCAAACTATGTGAATTCATGTGCTTGCATAAATTAGTAAGGTTTTTTAACCAAAACAAAATGTAATTGTTTAATCTGTTTTTCCATTGATAAAAAATAATTTTTTCAGGTTGAAATTGATCATATATTTAAAACAACTTGATAGTTTTTCATACTTGGAGACATAACCTATTAAAAATTTGTATTTACTGAGCAAGGGCATAGTTTATGTGTGTACTAAATTATTAACTTTTAGTAATCATATACAGGTTGCAGTGGGGAGTCCAATAGAGACTCACTTTTGACCTTACCTAACCTAACCTAATATCATATATGATTTACTTATTATGCGCAGTGTCTACCAAAAAAATAATATTCAATAATAACTCAATTTTACCTTCTAACAAACCCGGCGGGATAGTACTGAGGGAAATTGCTCTTGAAAAATTTTCTGGCCTCTCTTGTAATTGCCTTGTTGCCCCGGAGTGCCAATTAATTTTTGTTGTTGTTTCATAATTTCATGATTTGTATTACTTTCTTTTTTACTACTTCCAATATATTGTGATTTACGGAACCTATTCATTTTGAAACATGAATATACTTGAGTCTCAGGCTTTTATCATATTATTACCACTCTCTATTATTAAAAGTCGTCCAACTGTGTGGAAACTACTTATATAGATCTGCCTGTGTTGAAATCGGGTGACCCAGCAGACTTTAGTGAACGATTTGAAATAATATACTATGATCTAGTCAGAAACAGTATTTAACTGAGTCAGCACGGCTTCAATACCAGAAATCTACAGTTACTAATTTAGCTTGCATAACGCCAGATATATCTGAAGATTTTGAGTCTCAAGTCAGGTAAATGTCATTTACATAGACATTCAAAAAGCATTCGACATTATTGACCATTATTTATTGTAAGATAAACTCAGATCTGTTGTTAATTTAATGGGACATTAAAATTAACAAATATAAGCTACAAAATAATGCTTAGAGACAATAGCAGAGTGAATAGACAGCCCAGCTGAACAGATACAAATATAAGTACATGAATATTGAAATGTAAATATATAATGCTACATAATAAACGTTGATAGCCATTTCGTGTTGATTTCAATAACTTGTTTACACAGAGCTACATGAGCCTTGGTAGAATTTGTTCACACTATAATAGGACCTCTCAACAAGGAATTCTTTTACTTTCTTTCTGATTTTTTTTTCATTATATATTCGCCTTAAATCAATGGGAAGGTGATTAAATAACTTCTTCCTATTGAAAATAACAGAATTTTGTGTAAGGGCTAGAGTAGGTGTGGGAAAGGAAATGAAGTAAGACTGTCGTGCACTATAAGTTGAGGTGGTATTAAATTGATTTTTATATTTATTGTAGATAAGACACACTGTTTCCAAAATAAAAAGACATACTAAGGTCAGAATTTTTTGTTTGACAAATAATGGGCGGCACGAATCTCTGTAACTAGCCTTGCATAAATATCTGATGAATCTTTTTTGTAGAGAAAATACCATACTGAAACGAAATTGTGCAAAATTTCCCCAAAAACGAATTCCATAACGTAAATAGGACTCAATTTGTGCAAAATAAACTGATCTTGTAATAGTAGTATCTAACTCTCTTGCAACAACTCTCGCTGCATGACATCCTGCTGGTAGTCTTTTACATAAGTGGTCCACATGGGAATCAAATTTTAGATTTTTATCACTGAAAAGCCCTACAAATTTGTTTTTCTTCAAATTTTTAATTTTTACATTTTCCAAGAGTATTTCCACTATGTTAGATCTAAACGTGACCACATTTGTTTTGTTGATTTTGAATGACAAAAGACCACCACTCTTTCACTGTCGTATGTCGACGATGATTTGATGAAGTAAATTTGAAGCGGTATTGCTATGCCAGAGGATAGTGCTGTCATCAGCAAAACATGTTAATTTACCACTTAGTCCACATGAACTAAGTCGTTGACGTAAATGAGAAACAACACAGGTCCTAAAATGGAACCTTGTGGGACCCCACTGCTGATGAAACGTTCTTCTGATGAAATTCCATCTAATAGAACATTCTGCCGCCGATGAGTGAGGTGCGTCTCAAACCAAAGTAATGCAGATCCTATAAATACGTAAACTTCTAGCTTATGAAGAAGTAGCATTTGGTCTACACAATCGAAGGTCTTGGTTATAGGTCACAAAACATGGCCGCCGCAGATTCTCTTTCATTAAGATTGGTGTACAGGTTTTCCAGAAGCGAAAATATAGCGTCTTGTGTACCTTTTGAAGACTGAAAGTCAAATTGGAATAAATTTATTATATTGTTTTTCTCGAGGAAGAATATTACTCGTTTTTTCACCAGTTTTTCTATAACTTTAGACACGACGGGTAGCAAAGCAATTGTCCTAAAATTAGCTGGGTTGTCAAGATCGACTATTCCATATAGAGGAATGATCGTGGAAATTTTCAGACACGATGGGAACATACCTTTGAAGAATAAGAAATTTATTGCCTCCGCCAACGCACTCAAAGCCCTGTCGGGAAGAGTTATCAGAAGTATTCATGTTACACAAAATTTGTATGAAAAGGAAAAGGGGGGTCTATCAAGGGAAATTTGTTCAATATTTTTTTATGTATAAGATAAATAATAACGAAAAATCTGACTTAGAGGGTGGTAGAATTACGAAATTCTTAGTCTCAAATGCAAATTTCAATAACTCTGCAACCGGTTATCAAAATTCAAAAAGGTGTAGGTCGTTGTGTAGAAAATTGAATTAACTTTCATACGAAATGTCACAAGACCTTTCCAACTGAAAAAAAGTTGATAGCGCCCGACTGGTTGCTAACACGCTGTCGACTTTTTAATCAAAAAGTACTAAAATTGATTCCTTTTCACAAAAATATTTGATATATTTCCCCGTTCGAAAGTTAAAAGGGTAGGGGGGCCTATTTACGTCCGCACTATGTATATTAAAATATCTATGTTCCAATATAGACGAAATAATGCTGAATGAAATATAAATCCGCGAACGCACTTTCCACTAGTAGAGAAGTTTTAGCGAAAACACGTCTATTCTGAAGGCTGATGACGTATTATCACAGAATATATTCTGTGGTATCACGTCATCCACAGAGGTGCGTCATAGCTATTCCATATGATTCTGGTTGTTCCATTCCTTTTTACTTTCATTGCTTTCATAGTCAATTATGAGCTTTCGCAAGAAAGATGAGGAATATTTGAAGTTATGACGAATTCTATAGTTCCAAATGTGATCTAATTTAACAATTACTTTCTATTGTGGAATTTGTGAGGAGTTTTATCGAAATGTTATCTAGAACTTTGGTTGTGAGAGTTGAGTGAAATAGTGTGAAAGTTTTCCTAAAAGTTTTTTAAACCAATTCAAATCAAAACATATTTTTATGCCAAACATATTTTAGTATCATGGGATTATTGTTTGCTAAGCTTTGGAGCCTATTTGGCAATGAAGGCAAGTTTTCAATATATATCTAACCTAAAAAAATAATATTTTTCGAATTTTAGAACACAAAATAGTTATTGTTGGTTTGGACAATGCTGGAAAAACAACAATATTGTACCAGTTTTTGATGAATGAAGTTGTTCACACTAGTCCTACTATCGGGTCAAATGTTGAAGAAGTTGTTTGGAGAAATATTCATTTTATTATGTGGGATTTGGGAGGACAACAATCCTTGAGGGCAGCTTGGAGTACTTATTATACTAATACAGAGGTGAGAATAAGAAGGAAATTGTTTATTAAGCAAAAAGAAAGAGAAACTGGAACATTCCTTATGAATGCAAAATTTTTCTTTGATAATGTAGGAATTGAAATTCATAAAAAATCATTCATGAACTCTCCTTTCTTTCATTTTTTGTTTATCTATTTTTCTCCAGTGAATGTAAATGAGATTAGTGTGATGATGTTTCAAGGTATATTCTTTGAGACATTTTTTTGTGGAGAACTCAATACTGACTACAACATCTGAAAAATAAACAAAGCTAAATCAATAATCTGCTGAAGTGTAATAAAGGGCAAATTGAAAAGTTCACCCCGAAAAGTTACTGCCTAATATAAACCACTGAACAGTCCAATTAGTCAGTAATTTGTCCTATTCATAAATTTTGACATATGTCAAAAGAATTAGAGTGATTCATATTTTGAGATGAAAGTTTTAAAGTGAATTTCAGGTTTTGGAAACGGAAAAAGATTTTTTTCTGCACCAAAAGAAGAATCATTGATTGACACTGAATGATAATGAAAAATGAGAAATAAAACTTCCTATGTTTTTATACCACTTTTATTTGTAACTATGTCCTATACGGACATTCTCAAACGAATATAATGAACTCTATTATAATGTTAGTTACAAATAGAAGTGGTATGAAAACATAGGAAGTTTTATTTCTCATTTTTCATGATGAATTCCTACCACATAGTAACGGCTACATCCATCAATTTATTATAACAAAAAAACCAGTAAAAAAAATTGAGGATATGGATACCTAGCTACATAATAATACACTTGGTACAGAATGATAAATTGCACCAAAAGAAGAATCATTGATTGACACTGAATGATAATGAAAAATGAGAAATAAAACTTCCTATGATTTTATACCACTTTTATTTGTAACTATGTCCTATACGGACATTTTCAAACGAATATAATGAACTCTATCATAATGTTAGTTACAAATAGAAGTGGTATGAAAACATAGGAAGTTTTATTTCTCATTTTTCATGATGAACTCCTACCACATAGTAACGGCTACATCCATCAATTTATTACCTATATACAAAATGTTATATTTGGTTTTTTCAAAAGTTTTGTCCATTTTTATCAACTTCAAACTTTAATAGCTCATTGGATACTCATTCAATATAATCGAATTGATCGTTATTTGAATCAGTGCACTTTTGCTTACGTAATACAAGTCGATTAATTCAGTCAGCATAAAAATTGTGTACTCGGGATTCGATGAAGTCGACGAAGACTGTTTTTGCCTCGTCCTGATTGGCGAAGGTTCTGCCAATGAAAAATTATCGAAGTGCTTGAAAAGATGGTAGTCGTTTGGCGAGAGGTCTGGGGTGTATGGAGCAGAATCGGATCTCTTCTGTTAGCCAGTGCCGGCTAGTGCTGACGCAATGTTTGGTACATTTCGTTAGTTTCCTCACAATAAGATTCTGCTGTGATAGTTTGGCCCAGTTGCAGAATGTTATAGTGAATCACACCAGCCACTGACCACCATACAGTAACCATGGTCTTTTCTTGGTGGGTTATAGCTCATTGGGTACTCTTTCAATATAATCGAATTGATCGCTATTTGAATCAGTGCACTTTTGCTTACGTAATACAAATCGATTAATTCCGTCAGCATAAAAATTGTGTACTCGGGATTCGATGAAGTCGACGAAGACTGTTTTTGCCTAGTCCTGATTGGCGAAGGTTCTGCCAATGAAAAGTTATCGAAGTGCTTGAAAAGATGGTAGTCAGTTGGCGAGAGGTCTGGGGTGTATGGAGCAGAATCAGATCTCTTCTGTTAACCAGTGCCGGCTGGTGCTGACGCAATGTTTGGTACATTTCGTCAGTTTCCTCACAATAAGACTCTGCTGTGATAGTTTGGCCCAGTTGCAGAATGTTATAGTGAATCACACCAGCCACTGACCACCATACAGTAACCATGGTCTTTTCTTGGTGGGTTGGTAGGTCCGTTAAGATTGTTATGAATTCTTCTATGTTCGTTTAACTCAAATTGAAGTTATTAGATATGAGCGTGTCCTTGAGATAGTGCAAAGGTTCTACTGAGGGTAAAATATCCATGGTAAATTTTCTGGCTACCATGCAATAGAATTCGTTTAGAATTTTCGTACGGTGTTTATTCATATGGTTGTGTTTTCTAATTAAATTTAGTGATCTGAAGTTTGTAGCTGGTATTTTCATTCCTAAGGACACTAACGGCTTCTTTCTCTTTTCCCTTATTTTTATGAGGGGAAAACTATTTTCGAAGAGGACAGTTGAAGTCTCATGTAGGATATACATAGGTTCAGGAGTGACAAACATTCTCTCCACTTTGTGATTGAGGCAAGTTCTCTGAATTTTCTAAAATTTTTCTTACTGAATATTCTACCATATCTAGATCTCTTTTCATTTTGTCGCCATTTATATGAAAGAAAGTGAAAATTGCCTCGTGATCGGAAAGTCGTGAAGAATGACGGTACATTTAAAGTTATCATTATCAAAGTTTGAGCTGATGTAGTTAATTGTAGTGGTAGAATATAACGATATCTGAGTGGGTTCTGATACATTCATTGTCATATTGAAGGCAGTTAGCAAATTCTTCAGTTAATATTATGAGAAACTGCTCATCAGAGAAATTTATATGAAAATCTTCAGTTATAATAATTTTTGATTAAACCGATATTTCTGTAAGAATGGCTTCAAAGATATCAAAGAAACTGTCGAAAACTGAAAATACAAAGAATATATAAATAATGTGGAATGTTCCTCAATTTGTGTTACTACAGCAAATGCAAGTTTGAACAAAATAAAGTTGAGTTCAATTCATGAGTTTTTCAAATTTATTTCAAAAAGTAATCAAATTGATGTTTCAAATGTTGGGTTTTAATTTTTAAAGGGATTTGTTTCTAATTCATGATAC